TACTTTGCTGAGGACGTCAGTGTTTGCCTCTGATTGGCACAGTACCTAAACAGTCAATATATATGCACCTTCTCCTCTTCAAACTGTTTTAAAATAGTCAAAAAGTGTTTAATACTTAGACTATTAAAGGATCTTGCTCTATTGGAAAGAAGAGATTTCTTTGCTTTTAAAAACCTTTATTTCTAAGGGTAAAGGGTTCACGGGATTACTACAAATTAACATAACACTAACAGCTACATTTCTAAGCTGCCTATATTCAAACCTAGCACACACATAATGGAGAATCTCTCCTTCTTGACCCCTAGAAAGGAAGTCACCTGAAACAAATGACCAATCTGTATCACAGTAGAAGCTACTTTTCCCCGGGCTAATTCCCCATTGGCTTAGTGCCAGGTATCCCTTCCAGGTCAGTCTACACAATAGCAACACTAGGAAAACAAGTTAACCCTATAATGACTGAATTGTCAGACCTTGTAAACACATACATTTCCAACACAAACGAGCCCAGATTATGTCAGCACTACTCAGCTCCAGAAAGCATGAGCCCAGAATCCAACAAAGCATCAAGACGCAGCCGTTAGGCATAACACTATCCATAAAGTGAGCCACACTTTTTATGTCACACACTAGACAGACCCTCTCCAATAAGCAGACTAAAGAAGAAGAAGAAGAGATTGGATTTATACCCCGCCCTTCACTACCCGAAGGTGTCTCAGAGCAGCTTACAAACAGCTTTCCTTTCCCCTCCCCACAACAGACACCCTGGGAGGTAGGCGGGGCTGAGAGAGCTCTGACAGAAACGGCTGTTTTTCAAGAACAGCTCTTATCAGAACTACGGCTTGCCCAAGGTCATCCAGCCAGGTGCAAGTGGAGGATTGGGGGAATCAAATCCGGTTCCCCCAGATGAGAGTCCGTGCACTCAACCACTGCACCAAACTGGCTCTGAGAAGAGATTGGATTTATGCCCCGCCCTTCACTACCCAAAGGAGTCTCAGAGCGGCTTACCATCTCCTTTCCCTTCCCTTCCCCACAACAGACACCCTGTGAAGTAGGCAGGGCTGAGAGAGCTCTTGACAGAAACGGCTCTTTTTCAAGAACAGTTCTTATCAGAACTATGGCTTGCCCAAGGTCATCCAGCCAGGTGCAAGTGGAGGAGTGGGAGAATCAAACCCGGTTCTCCAAGATAAGAGTCCAAACACTTAACCACTACACCAAACTGGCTCTCACAACTAAAGATGCATCAGAGTCCTCAACATGATGCTTAAGCAATGGGGAGCGGGGAGAGAATGAGAAGGCACTTACGTAAACCAAAAAGACTGGGACACACTTCAGCTTAGTAAACTGCCAGGCACGTAAATGATCAGACAGGTCATTTCACTTGTGACCATTATTGGGAAAAGATGGTACATCTACAGCGTTATGATCCCAGATACAGTTGCCAGCTCTGGGTTGGGAAATACCTGGAGATTTTGGGGGTGGAGCCTAAAAAGAGTGTGGTTTGGAGAGGGGAGGAACCTTGGCGTTTTATAATCCCATAGAGTCCACCCTCCAAATTAGCCATTGGCTGAATCTGCATTTGTCTTTCCCACCGGGTGTCCCAGCCTTTTGACTCCATCTTCAAAAAAAAAAACTGTCTACATTTGGTGTCGTTTTCACACCTCAAGAGTGCTAGCATACTTTTGCACGTCCACATATGTTTATCCTCCTTTCTGGGCGGCTCCGCTGTCATTACACCTCTGCACTGCTTTAAAAGAATCTCCTCCAAACAGCGTTCGAACAAGCATAGAGAAAGCCGGTGTCACAGCAGCATGAAACTAATTGAAAATAACACCCTCTTTCCTTTCTATTCCCAACCCCCTTCCTCCTGCCCCACCCTTTCAATCCATTACTTGGATCCCTTGATCTGGACACCATGCTTCTGCGAATGCATCCTAACATTGCATTCACTTTCTTCACAGCCACATCGCACTGCGGACTCATGTTTAGCTTGTGATCAATCAGAACACCTAGATCCCTTTCATATGTGCTGCTGTCAAGCCAAGTCCCTCCCATTCTATATCTGTGCCTTTGGTTTTTTGTACCTACGTGTAGGACTTTGCACTTCTCTCTATTGAAATTCATTTTATTTGTCTCCGCCCACTGTTCCAGCCTGTCTAGATCATTTTGAATCCTGACTCTGTCTCAGGGGTCATTTCCTGCAGGAGCGCACAGGAGCGCACAGGAGCGGAGCTCCAGCAGTAAAGGGCCCAGGGGGCGGGCACATGCAACAAGCCGAACCCCCTGCTCCCAGCAGCCCTCAGTCAGAGCAAGAAGCAGCCAGGTGAGTTGCAGAGCCCCCCCAGCCCCCCGGTCCAAAACAGTCCAGTGGCACCCTGAAGACCAAGTTTTATTCAGGCACAAGCTCTCCCTCCTCTGCGAGGACAGATCTGCACATTCTCCCCCCCCCCCCCCCAATCCAAAACAGTCCAGTGGAGCCTGAGTGTTGCCTTCTGACACACTTCCGGTGATGCCAGGGGGTGTGGCATACACAAATGAGTTATGTTAACGAGTTATGCTTATGAGCTCCTGCACCTCTTTTTCTACGAAATGACCCCTGCTCTGTCTTCTTCAGAATTAGCACTCCCACCCAGCTTCGTGTCATCTGCAAACCAGGGGATGCTTTGCCCTACTTTTCTCTCTAGTTGTTGTTTCGAGTATAGGCCTGTTGGTGATGTAATGTCAGATATTTCAGTCATGTTGGCTGTTCTCCAATGTCTGGCTATTTTAATACCAGTTCCCGGAAGGAACCATCTTTGGCATAAGAAGTTTATTTGTCTGGGTGTTCTCGGAAGTAGTTTGTGTCTGTCCCACATTCTCAGTAGGAAAGTAAGAAGAAGATCAGTTTGGATCTCTTTCGGTCTTGTTAATGAGTCGTTCCATACGATCTCTTGAATGGTCTTGGGATATATTAGTGCAGGAGTGTCAAACTCATTTATTATGAGGGCTGGATCTGACATGAATGAGACCTTGTTGGGCAGGGCCACGTGCGTCATAAAATGTAATGCCAGGTAGCATACATATAAACTTCATAAAGGACACAAAAACAATGAAAGATTTTTTAAACTTTAAATAAAACATGCTTAAAACACTAGCACTCTTGCAATATTTTGTCTGTTTAACAGTCTCTGATAACTGACACCTCTTGCTCTGAGTTACTGCAGCAGCAGAACTGGAAAAGGAAGCAGGAAACAGCCAGGGCTTTGCGGGCTGGATTGCAGCCCTCCGAGGGCCTGATTTGGCCCCCGGGCCGCATGTTTGACACCCTTGTATTAGTGGATATAGTGGCTTAACCCATACAGCTTTGTTTCCATTCTGTATCATTCTGAGTATTGTAGAAATCATTGCGGACTTGTAATAGGTGACGATGTCAGGGTATCTCAGGCCTCATGTTTTCTCCAATACTTGGCGTATAATATTCTTGCCATAGTCACTACATATATTATAAGATAAAAGTCTTGTTTTTTACATTTTTTTTGTCTTATATTCAATAAAAACAGTTCAGGTTTAAAAGGTATAGTGCATTTTAACATTTTTTGTAAAATGTCAGGTATCCAGGACCAATACTTCTTCACTCTATCACACGTCCACCACATATGGAAGAAAGAGCCAACATATTTTTTTGACATTTCCAGCAATCATTTGATACATCAGAATAAAACATTGCTAGTTTTTCTAGATGATATAACATCTATAAAACATTTTTATACATATTTTCTTTATATGAAGTTGCTTTAGTAATTTTTACATTTGTTTTCCATTTGTTGTTCAGTCGCACAGTCGAGTCTGACTCTTCGCGACCCCATGGACCAGCTCCCGCCAGACCTTCCGGTCTTCCGCTGTCCTCTGAAGTTTGCTCAATTTCATGTTCGTTGCATCTATGACACTGTCTAACCATCTCATCCTTTGCCGTCCCCTTCTTCTTTGACCTTCAATCTTTCCCAGCATCAGGGTCTTCTCGAGTGAGTTTTGTGAGCTCCATACCTGTGAGCATTGGTCTAACTCAATATTATGACCCAAATTTTGTGCCCATTTAACTATGCCATCTTTAACAATTTGCCAGTTCGGTGTAGTGGTTAAGTGTACGGACTCTAATCTGGGAGAACCGGGTTTGATTCCCCGCTCCTCCACTTGCACCTGCTGGATGACCTTGGGCAAGCCGTAGTTCTGATAAGAGCTGTTCTTGAAAAAGAGCAGTTTCTGTCAAGAGCTCTGTCAGCCCCACCTACCTCCCAGGGTGTCTGTTGTGGGGAGGGGAAGGGAAAGGAGTTTGTAGGTTGCTCTGAGACTCCTTTAGATAGTGGAGGGCGGGTTATAAATCCAATCTTTTTTCTTCTTCTCTCTATTTCATCCTGTGTTTTATTTCCCAACATTATTTCATAAAGTTTCCTAATCAATTTTTCTTCAGTGCAAATACTGGGATTCGGGGTTGCCAGCCTCCAGGTGGGGCCTTGAGATCCCCTGGAATTACAACTGATCTCCAGATCAACTTCCCTGGAAAAAAGGGTGGATGCAGAGGGCAAACTGTACGGCAAACCATCGATTCTAGCTGAAATCCCGCTCCAAATCCCCGCCGCCGCAGGCACCACCTGCAAATCTCCAGGGATTTCCCAGGCAAAGGTTGTCGACTGTGGCTTCTCCGTTCTCCCTTAGCTCAGGAACATAAACAACACTCCGCAGTGATGCAACCCGTCCGATGTGCTCAGTGCAGAATCCTGAACGCGAAAGCAAGGATTGCTTCATTCTGAAATTGGCACACCGTGCTCCCTGTCCTCGCCCTAAATTTTTGTGTTTTCCTTTTTGCCAGAGGAAGTGGAGGCCTTGGGAAATGCCTCCCCTCCCCCTCCCCGTGCTCTGCTTCTTCTGTTGGGTTGGCCAATTAACATTGTTGCCTTAAAATATGCAGAAAGGGGAAGCCCCTTAGAAAAGTGCGCTTTAGGCAGATGTATTGAGTCACGCACCCACCTGGTCCAGGAAATCAGGGCAAGGCAGACTATATAGGAGGTGACTTGGAACGAAAAAACGGTGCACCCGCAGAAGCCGGGACAATGGCGAGCCGGATCCTGTTGATGCTTGGCCTTGCCGTGGCAGCCACAGCTTTGTCGCCTACACAAGAGGAGCTCAGCTACAAGGAAGCCGTTTCCTTGGCTATCGACCTCTACAACCAAGAGCCAGGGGTGGCGCGGGCCTTCCGACTCCTGGAAGCCAAACCCCAGCCGGAGTGGGTGAGTGATTGGCACCAACAGCAGTAGCTCACATTGTGTCGTCCGTGGCTAGTGTGAGACTTGAACTTGGGTCCATGTTTCAGTGCAGCCCTTGCTGGGTGGAACACTTCACCTTCTCTGAGCCTCAGTTTTCTTCTGTGGAATGGGATCCAGGAAATTACAGGCCAGTTAGCCTAGCATCAGTTCCAGGTAAATTGGTAGAAACCAGGGGTCATTTCGTAGAAAAAGAGGTGCAGGAGCTCATTAGCATAACTCAATAGCATAACTTATTTGCAGATGCCACACCCCCTGACATCACCGGAAGTGTGTCAGAAGGCAACACCCACTGCAACGTACCTGGCTGCTTCTTGCTCCTCGTGGCCTGGGGCTGCTGGGAGCAGGGGGCGGGGCTTGTTGCATGTGCCCGCCCCCTGGGCTCTTTACTGCCGGAGCTCCGCTCCTGTGCGCTCCTGCAGGAAATGGACCCCTGGTAGAAACTGTTTTTAAGGAGACAATTGTTAAGAATTTTGAAGAACACAGCCTGCCGAGGGGGAAATCAGCATGGCTTCTGTAAAGGGAAGTCCTGCCTCATCAACCTTCTGGAGTTCTTTGAGCAGGTTAATCAGCATGTGGACAAGGGCGATCCGGCAGACATGAAATACTTGGACTTCCAGAAAGCGTTTGACAAGGTCCATCAGCAAAGATGACTGACTAAGGTCAGCAGTCATGGGACAAGAGGACGGGTCCTCTTTTGGGTTTGACGTGAGTTTAAATGGCAGGCAACAGAGAGTCGGTATAAACAGACCGTTCTTGCCATACAGAGAAGTGAGCATTGGGGCCCCACAAAGATCAGTACTGAGACCAGTGCTATTTAATTTGTTCATAACTTATTTGGGATTGGGGGGCGAGCAATGTAGAAGCCAGGTTTCCAGATGACACAGAATTTTTGGGGACGTTGAAAACCAAAGCAAATTCTGAAGAGTGACAGGAGAATCAATCTAATTTTGGTGGTTGGGCAACAACGTGGCAAACCAAGTTCAAGTGGGACAGGTGTAAGGGGATGCGTATTGGAACACACACAAAAATGCCAACTCCAGATTCTATACTGGTGGAGTCTGAACTGATTGAGACTGAAACTGAAAGAGATTTGCGGGTCACAGTGGGAACCTTGATGAATATGTCAACCCAGTGCCCTGCAGCGGTGAAAAGGGCAAACTGTATGTCAGGGATTTCTAGGAAAAGGATTGAAAATATAATGACCAATATTATAATGGCCCTGTATAGAACTATGGGGCAGCCTCCTGTGGAATACTGTGTACCAGGGGTCATTTCCTGCAGGAGTGCACTGGAGCGGAGCTCCGGCAGTAAAGAGCCCAGGGGGCGGGCACATGCAACAAGCCCCGCCCCTGCTCCTTCTCTCCCTCTTTCTTCCCTTCTTCCCCTCCTTCTTTCCTTCTTTTTGTTTCCTTCTTTCCCTCCTTCTTTCCCTCCTTCTTTCCCTCC